CAGAACAAGCAAGGTTGAAAGCAAGGACCACGAAAAGCAAAACAAATTATTATGTGGTACTGAGATAACGTAGCAATTGAGATGAGATCATAAACTTCTTGGAAATGTTTCAAATGGAATTTCAAATTTCCGTTGTTATCATTGATCGAAACATTTTTGATTTATCTGTAGAATAAGATAAACTTAAAATTTTATAACTGTGACTGCAGAAATCAACCTTAATCAAAGAAAATTAACAAATACTGTTTCACTCTGGAACATATGAAGAAAGAGAAGAAAGCTGCTGAGGAAAGAAGTCATGCTAATTCTGAATATGAATTTTAGCACAGTCTGAAAAACTACAAAAATGTGATCATTTACCAGTTTTTTAATATTCCCCTATGAAGTTCTTATTCTTTTGTTACTCCAAAAGAACCAGTAGGAAACTACTAGTCTGAGACATTAAAACCCATTTTAGCTAATGAATGGAAATGTCATTCTTAATTAGGCAATTGTTTTTCTGAAGTCAAAACCAAGCGTTCTTCTGTAGAGTTGTAAAAATGAAGGAGTTAACTCCACTGTATGAGTATGTTAGTGCAGTCTCAGTGGCATTAAAATCATACCATCATTTCCCTGTTAATAGCTCTGGTGGTAATAAGACACAAACAATGAGAAAGACTTGGTGATGTTCTCTGCTTCAGCACTGAAATGAAATTTTTCAGTGGAGAGATTACTGAAGGTGTGAGGAGACTTTTCTTTAATACATCATTTTTAATTTAAGGTTACCCATATTTTCCAGGTAACTGCGCACCTAAGAAAGATGTGGCTCTGTTGCAGGAGAGGATATGAAATCTTGTAGAACTTTCAGAACTTGTTGCCTGAACGTTATACAGGAAGTGTTGCAGGTAAAGAATATAAATCTCACTTGAGGTGAGTGAGGTAATTTGTTGTTGAGCAGAACAAGCGTTTCTGAAGAGTGGAATTACAATTCTTCATTGAGTAGGAACAAGGCATTGATTTGTGTATATGAAGAACAAAGTGGGACTCTTGACCAACTAATACCTTTCCTTTGACATAAAATAGTAAAAATTTATTGTTGCTTCATTTGTTTTCTACTGCTTAAAGTTCTACACTGGAATTCCAACCTACTTTCATGTGGCTTCAAATACTCTGCATTTCTTAACAAGTGTGGTGATCCGTGGCAGAAATTCTGGTGGAAAAGAAATTTTGCTGCCAGTATACCAAACATTCTGGAGTTATTCAAGTACCCTTTTCAAAACTTTCTGGTTTCATGATCCATTTTCCTGGCATCTCAGAATAGCTAAATTCTGGTTTTATAAGGGGAAAGTACTGGATTTTTTTTCCATCCTCTAATCTACTGTGTCACAAAGGGGCTTTTGCTCATGGAGCTTTGTTTCTCAGTGAGAACAAAAGCTTAAGCAGATGTTTCCCTACAATGATGATGCAAAGAAGCATTTATTTCATTTTTCTCCATGACTGGCTTTCATTAGTCTGTTCTAATAGAGGCAGAAATATTAAATTTGGCTAGAAATTTCAGGTAATTTCACTAAATAAAAAAGATTATTTTTAAGGAATGATTTGTTCCAAATAGAAGTCAAAATTCAATGCCCTTTCTCTGGGCACTGTATGTGGAAATTGCTGACCAAACACCAGTTTTTACTCTGCCAATATCAATGTCTGAGATAGCTGTCTGCATCCCTCTTACATTTAACAATGTAACAGCACTAAAGTTAGATGTCATTCATTTCATCTGAATGCAGATGACTGAATAAAGAAGAACTTGCTCCATAAATGTGTTTGTATGAGAGGACCCCAGCATCACTGTTTAAGAATAAGTATTGGCTTTATAGTTGAAAAGATACAAATCTGAACTCCTTTTGCTATCTGATTATGTATGCAACTGCCTCTACTCTCTCTCAAGAAGTCAGGTAAACAAGGTCTAAGACTGTTTAATTTCAGTTTACACTGAAATAGGTGATTACTCTGTATGGATTGAACCATTTATGACTAAAATAAAATCTGGTGTTGAAGAACATGGGCTCTAGATGACACTGCAAATTGGATATGTCAATCAATACTCACTGCAGGAATGTGACCTTGTGAGTCAGGGGAAAAAAAAAAAAGAAAAAAAAAAAAAAGAAAATAGATATGTTCGAGATGACAAGAATGGAAAAACTGTAAAATTGGTAGCAAATAAGAAAAAGCATGCAAGCAGCAAGCAGATTTTGCTAAAAACGTATAAAAAACAAGCAGACCTCAATGAAAAGGAGGAAAACAGCATCACTACTGATATTGTACACTTCCTGAGAAGAAATAAAAGCTCTTAACAAGCATCACACTCCACCTGATGAAGACATCAGGATGTTGACAACTTTTTTAAAAGTCCCATGCTGTTTTTTTTTTTTCTTTTTTTCTTTTCTTCGTTTCTTCTTTTTTTCTTCTTTTCTTTTTCTTTTTGTTTTTTTCAAGGAAGACAGAAATTGTCAGCCCTGGGATTCAGAGGGATAACGTAGAATATAATATCAGAGGAAGGGGTAAAAGCTGTGGTGGTTTTCTGCTACAATTTAAACTGCATTATTAAAAGGCTTTGTGTATTAACTGATAATTTGTATTATTTGGCTGACAAAAATGAGTTTGATTGTCAGTAAATTCAGATACTCTTATAAATGTCATGTTCTATTTTACCCATAGTAACGTTTTGAGAATATTATTATTGTTTGAACTGATCAGTAGATAAAAAACTTAAGAGGCCCACCTGCATATATGAGGATGACAGAAATTAATGAAAGTTAAAGAAAACTAAACACATTAAGTCAAAATTAATTATCTCTGGTAAGGAGAGAGGAAAACAACTGTAATTTAACACCAAGATAGAATTATTCATATCAAGAATTATAATATTTCAATTATAGAAAACACAGAAAGGAATTCAGAGTTAACACTAGGAAAAACATAGAAACTTCATTGTGATTGTTTTTGAAGAAACTGGAAAATAAATTAAGAGCTTTTAACTAAATATAAACAGAGAAAGAAGGTCAATGGTGGTGGACACAGGCATGACAAATTATAGTTAGGACATAATAACTATTACAGAGTCCTGGTTTATCCCAAAGGAAGAGGCTGGGCTATAGAGTTACAGGATGTTCCAAAAGAAAATGTTCAGCATAGAAAAACAGAAGAGGACAGGGAGTATACCTTTGAGCTGCAAGAAAGTTAAAAGAAATCCTGAATGAAAAACAAAATCAATTTGGCAAAATGAATGTGGAGAAAATGTCCAAGCATCAAAAATACAAAGAAGTAATAAAGACTTCTTATTGCCAAAGAATTACAGAGCAGAGGACATAAAATTTATCATCTACTCTAAGTTAGTGTAATTCAGTCATTTTCAGTGGAGCTATAATGATTTGCATCATCTAAAGATAAATTGAAGTAACAGTCTAGATAAAAAGAGAAGATGAAAGATGGCAGCTGTATTCATAAGCAGGAAAGCATTGAGAAACTTAAATGAGGACTATCATAAACGATTCCTTTTGAGGCTGGGTTTTATTAATTTTTTCTGATCTCACATTGAATTAGGCTTTGGAGTTTTTAAGGCTAGACTCAAATTAAGAGCTCTTTGATTTGTTTTTCTTATTAAAAAATCTAGTAAAAGTAAGAATGGGGAACAAATGGACAAAAAAAGGGAATGACAATTGGAGGGAAAAAAGGACATTAAGAACTTTGCATAACACCTTCAGAAACCTATTCTTAATTCTTCTGAATCAGACTGACATTCCAGCCGTGATCTCTCTGTGACTTTGATTGGCTTTGTGATCAGCTCTAACTGGATGGGACATAATTCTGTCAAAAAGAACTCTACAAAAATTGTGAATGTCCTTCTATGTACAGCAAAAAATATATTATATAGTTTGTGATCCACTCCCATTTAGTAGTATTTGCGTTTTCAAGCTGAGAATTAGTGTCATGGGTTTTTAACACTTTTATTAGAGTAAGTGCTGTTAATGCTGTTTAGCTGTTACATAACGCCTAAATAGTTTGAATGAACATCATTGTGATGGAAAGGTCACAATTAAGTAAAGAAAGCACTCAAAAATAATATATACCTTGTGGGTGAGGGGTCTGTATAAGTACAGAATATCATACAGACTCAGATCCCAAATTCCCCACATGTTGGAATTTACATTTGGAAATATAATGAATTTCAGATGCTGGTTAACATTGCACCTTTGTCCTACTCTTTGACTCAGTCCCTGCTGACAAGATAGGTTTCACTGACCTCTGCTGTCCGTACACATTTTTTCTCTTCTATGTAATCCATCTTGGTTCCAAATAAAGACTGTCTTGCAATGTTTCAGCTGTTTTTATTATTTTCCTTTCTTTCCTTTACAGGAATAGTCAAATATAAAGAAATATTATTTTCATATACTGAGACCTCTGAAACCAACAAGCTGTAGTCAGTAACTCAGAATTTATATTTTGCTATTATAATTTTGGTTGTGCTTCGTAAAATAGTTAAATTAACTGACATCAGACAATATGATGAAAAAAAGGATTTGCAGTAGTTTCTTTTATACCCTCATATTTTATTAGGAAAAACGGTGTTTCCACAACAGAATAGTTTTACAGTCCTAAACATTGGGTTGCATTTTCAATTCTACTAAAGTACTTTATGGAGATAATTGAGATATTTGCAAAATTAGATAACAAACCGAGGCTTAAACAGATTTGAATTTCGATCAGAAGGAGTGATTAAGGATAAAGAGACTGATGGGGACCAGCTGAACTGCCATTTAATCAATTAATTTTCTGAAACTACAGATTCTGTATCTACTACTGCTTTAGAAAATATAACTTCCATATTTCCCTTAGTGATTTAAGAGTAATTTTCATAATGGCATATGGGCATTAGAGAGTCACCATCATAATGAGTCAAAATACTTTATGATTCCTTTAATAGAAATGTGGCATGCGAAGGTGACATCTATGTGCTTCCCTTATAGGTTGTTGTAACCTTCACCCGTTTGTTTTTCCTGGGAGACCGCAGCTTGGCCAATTACCGAGGTGACACCAATATGGTGAACAGCAAAATGGCGCTTTTATGGAACAAACACGTGCTTATATATGGAGGGGGAGGTCCTAACGCGTTACAACCCGAAGAGGGTGCAAGCGCCTAATACAACAATAGGTATCAGTTTATATTTATGAAACTTAAAAAACAAAACAAAACAATAACAACCACAAGCTATTTAAGGCTTAGATTATAAAATAAATTACTTGCAAGATCATGTAAGTACTCTGCAATTAATTTTATAACTACTTTTCTAAAAGCAAGGCTGAAACAGGACCTTGACTCAAGCAGCCTGGGGCTTGTGTAGAACTACATTCGCGCACCGTCTGTGGCAGTGGATCCTGTTGGTACTTCTTAATGAAGTTTTGTGCACAGTGGGAAATCTGTCTTTATTTGTTTCTATAACCGGAATACCGGAATTGCCATCCATCAGATTAATTAACATGCATTAGAATTTTCAAACTTTTTTTTTTTTGTATTAACTCTAGAAAATATGATCAAATTACAAAAAAAAAAAAAAAAAAAAAAAAAAAAAGGTATTAATTTGAATCAAAATATGTCTGTAAACACTGTCAGGCATGAATCATTTCTCAGATACTTAAAATTTGCAGGCAAAAAACAAAATAAGGAGCATATGCTTGATTCTTTCCTGTTTTCTTTACAGGAGCTCTACACATGGCAGAAGGCATGTCTTGGAGGACAAGAAACAAAGGACTAAATATAAAATCACAGAATGGTTTGGGTTGGAAAGGTCCTTAAAGATTATGTTTCCAACTACTCTGCCGTGGGCAGGGACAATTTTCACCAGATATCATTCCTCAAAGCTACATCCAACCTGGCCTTGAAATATACAAAGTGTTGTGTATATGCCTCATGGAAGGTGCTGTCTTCAAGATACTCTAGGTAACCAGTGTCTTATTCCTTATAACATTGATTTTTCAATTGTTTGTTTTTGTTTTGTTCTGTTATTGTCCATCATAAATAGGGAATAAACTCTTCTTGTATAGATAAAATCAGCTATCTCGTCTGCCAGTGTAAATGGATCAGTGCCTGATGAGGACAAATCAGAGTAAAAAAGCTAGGTTTCAAATAGCTGATTTGAATCATCTTTGAAGAGCTATGTTTCTCTATGTTGACCATAGAGGGAGCCCCATCTCTTAACCTAGCTGCCTAAAGAAAGATGTTGCAAATAACAAATAACCCCCTGAAATAAATCTTATTTTAGTACTGAATTATGCATAGTTACAAGAGGTAAATGTGCTTTTTTTTTTTCTTTTCTGCCTATTTTCCTTATATATATGTGTGTGTGTGTGTGTGTGTGTGTTTTTATACATGACAGTTAAAATCTCTATTTGTTTCCAAACCCTAGAATACCTTCCAAACTAATTTCCATACCTTCTCCAAAAGTTTGGCCTGGATAGCAATAGAAATTTCCAGCCTTTTAATATGTGCAAGCATAGTAAATTGGACTTATAGAAACAGTGATTCTCATAAACTCCTGTAGCTAGTGGAAATACATGCACTACATATCTTCTCTTCACAGGCCTTGAAACATAAAAAAAAAAGCACGTGCTGTTTACAGAAATTCAGTGTTCAGTTCAGTTGGATGCTCAGTAGCAGGTTCAAACTCTACATGTGCTTAGATGGAAAATCATATTACACTTTGTTATCTCTATTTTACTTCATTCACCTGTTATATTTAAGGAAAACTGATTGTTAACCAGTATCTTGTAGAGTGCTTTATCTGCAAACTGGAACAAAGTACTACACTGAAAAGAGCTGCAAGACAGGAGCTTCATGCTGAAAAACCACACTAGCATGGGATGTCCACTAATTCATTCCTGCCGTGCTGGAAAATATCTGTTGAAATGTCAGAGGCTTGTAACACTGCGAGGTGGAGATAAACAAACCATCTGAAACATCATCCTGGCTGTGCACTAGACTCAGCCAGCATCAATTGCAGTTTTCTCTTTTATATGGATCCACTTTTATGAGCATGTGACAGACTTAACAGCAAGAGCATATGTTGAAAACCTCTTCAGAATACTCCCAGTTTCTTTTCCCAATCTGTGCACAGGGTTTCAGCTGTTCAGCACCTAGCAGTTGATAGTTTGCAAAGCATCAGAGCTAGAGAGGGGAAAATGAGAAGCTTCTTCCCCCTCTCACTCTTCCCCTCCACTCCTTACTCCCTCTTGCAGAAAAGAAGGGGATCTTCTCCTGCTGATCTTTTTTTCTGGCCTCTTGACTTCTGGTCAAGTAAACAGAACTCATTTGTCTCACAGACTGGTCTTTTATATGAAAAAAAAGATCACATTATGAATCTCATGAGATATTTTTTTGAAAAGGCAAAAGTGTTCCTTTCGGAAAGAGAATCTCCTTTGTGCTTAATCATCATTCAGTGAAAGGAACAATCTTACCAACTGTAGACAAGACCACTCTATTGATTTCTTTCATGCTGGAGGACATGAGACACTGGAGGAAACAAGCTTTTGTGTGTGGTTCAGGCTGATTCGGACAGAGCACAGACAGGACTGATGCTTTGCTGCTGCTGTGTAAAGTTGCTGATGAATTTCACATAAACACGCTGCACAAAGACTGACTTTTGTTGGAATCGCCTTTTGGCCATATGTTTTTGCAATTTCCTTTGCTGGTCCTTATTAGAATCTGGAAATAAGATACTCTTAATATAACCAATTTATTTTTCTTTCTTGTAGCATGCATGAGAATTCTTAACAAGTATTTAAAAGCAAAGGAAATGTTAGGCAAGATTCTAGAGTGTCTTGGAGGTCTCTGTAAACATTTTTATTTTGTGCTATGAAAAAATGATTAAAAAAATGGAACAATGGATAACTATGCAGACTTGATCAAGATAAACTGCAATGAAGAATGTTAAGGATTTTGAACTCCATCTCAATTCCAGTTGCTACTGGATATTGTCACTATGGTAGAACTAATTCATTTCACTGAAGTCTAGCCTTTAATATGAGAAGATTAATGGAGAGAGATAGGAACATCCTAATTCATATGTCTTAAGATATTATATTGCTGCATAATATAGCAGACTAAAATTGAGCATGTGAAAATGAGAGGATGACAGCAATAAAACAGTCAGTATTATTCTTTCAAAAGAATGCTTTGTAGCTGTTAAGAAACACCATTTTCAAGATATTCTTCTATGCTTCTTTAAATAAAATAAACAAAAAAAAAACAAGCAAAGCTTTATTCTAGTTCTTTAATACATGTACCATTGAGTTTTGAATTTGGAAGAAGTTGTAAGAATGCTCTTATAAAATGTAGATTTGCTACTTCTATTCTAGGCTGTTGTATGGGAACTGCTGAGTCACGGCCTGAACCTCTGATTGATCACCTGAGGAGAGCCTTGAGTCAGCCAGAGGAGCACAGGTGAAGGCAATTCACCTGTACTGCCGGAAGGGGTGGAGCCAGGCTCTACCCCTCCTAGACCTTTTAAGAGCTGGCTACCAGTAGGGAAGGATCTCTTCTGGAGATCTGCTCTGTTGGGGTTTTGTAAGTGACCCAGGATAGGGGTAAGCTTTCTATCTATTCTTTTTTTGTTATTGTTATCTGCTTTGCCAAACTTTCTTGTTTATTTTGTAATTATAACATCTTAATATTCTTTGATTATACAGCAGTGAATTTTGCTTTTTCCAGAAACTTTTATGTTAACCCTGCTAGATCAGTAAAAGGGACAAGGTCTTATAGGAATTGAATGCAGCTCTTGAACATTAAAAGGATTAGGAAAAAGAACCAGGATTAGGAAAAATATACCTTGAGCATCCTACCATTCCTTCTACTTGGTCTTGGCTAGGTTGAGATTCAGCTAGCTCACAGTCTGCAACCTATACTCTCTGAGAAACTTGATCAAACTAAATAGCTCAAATGTGTTGGAGACTCTGATGTGCAAGAGACGTGCAGCTTTTCATCTGTCAGAAATCCTCTTAGGAAGATATCCGGTGCTATTGTATAAAAAGATCTGGCTCTGAAAGACCTTCAAGCCTGTTTATGTTGATATTCAACACCAGTCTGGACACCTACCCGTGCAACCTATTGTAGGGTACCTGCCTTACTATGGGGTTTGGACATGATCTCTTGAGGTCCCTCCCAATCCCTGAGATTCTGTGATTTTCTGAAAAACAGCAAATCTTTTCTTTCTTTTAATTTTAAGCAATTGTCCACTTCTTCCATTGGTCTCATTTTAAATTCCAGTTAGAAACCAAAAAATAGGCAGTGGAAGTCAGGGTCCTGCTGCAAATCCAGAATAAGATTCTACTTAACAGAAGTATGTCCAAGCTTCAGATAACAGAATGTAAGTATAACCATTTAGAGAGTTCACAGCAGTATTTTATTATTGAATTATCAATGGCAAGAGTTAGAAAGAAACATCCAACACTGGAAGTGTAGACCAATGCTGCTTAACTACAGACATAGACATAAATCAAGATATTACTCTTAAGCTTTTGGATAAACTGAAATGAATAACCTCTAGAACTTCAGGATTCCATAATAAATACTTCAATATTTTGTGTTTTTTTTCTCTTGCCTATCATAGAAGGTACCTCTTCATTAACAAGTCAGAATTATATTTCTTTAAGTCTCATGTATGTCCTCAGAGAGCAAAGATAAGATGAGGAGTCTGATATAACTGTTATAAATTCAGTTTACTGGGGATACTGCTTTATATGACAGATACAAGGCAATAATTGATGCAAATACAATCCCAAAACAGTTGAGGAACAATTGCTTACATAGCTGCTCTTCAAGAAATTTGGCAGTTAGAGCAGATCTCAGTCTGAACATCATTGCACTATGCCATCTAATACTGTTCATGGATATGCTGTAGAGGTGTAGCTTGCAAGAGTAAATATACTCCTATTTTATCAACAACAGTAAGGCTTCAACTATGGCTAGTTTTGAGTGTCTTGCAAAAAAGATTTAAATCAACTAAAGACTATAGAGAAGCAAGAAAAAAAAAAAATTAAAATATACAGGCTGAAAAATGAAGGAGAAAAGAAAACATTTAATAACTTCTAAATTCATAAGCTTTGAGAAAGAGGAATGAAACAATGTGCCCATTTCCACAGCTGGGAA